TAATATATTAAGAATTAACATTTTTAATATGCTATTGATTTTTGAGTAAAATTCGTTTAACCAACCCTAGTTAATATTTATTTAAATATATATATATATATTGCAATATATATTGCAATATAAATATGTATATAATGAAATATTCTTAGAAAATATGTATAGGCTGATAGACTGCCCAGATTCGTTTTTCATAATAATATAATATGTATTAATTTGTTATCATTCAATATTAAGATATAACACATCCATAAGTTACTACTATAATACAGAAGATAGACTCCCCAGTTTTTTAATGAGTTATCTTGTGCCTAATAAATCCATTCAAAATTAATCTTGTCAATAGTGTGGATATTACAATATTAGACTGTGTCATGTTCTGGTTTTGAGATCGTTCAGTTCAATTTCAGTAGCTTGACAATATATTTAATGATGCATAAGAAACTAGTTCGAAAGAGAAAATATTTTATCGAGATTAATGAAATATATGTGTTACGAATTTAAAACTTGTATCCAAAAACCTGACTGTGGGAAGTGGATTTATATTATACTGAATCGGACATAAATGTATAAAAAATATATTCTGACTTTGGTGTGCTACCGTCAACTCTAKGTTTATGTGATGACCGTTTTTTTGCTTGATCCAAGATATAAAGGATTAGAGATAATCAAACACCTTTATTTATTTTTAACACTTATGTATGTGTGAGTGTAATATTACATATTATAGTTAATTCTTTATCATACTATTCTTTAACTGCATAATACCTGATCATTAATCATTTATAATAATTACAGCAGAAACAATGACCGAAGTTGGAATGAAAACTAACTCGTTTATAATACGTATATTTGTGTCAAGGACCACGTTACATCCCTAATTGCATTTTTTTCCTTTTACCGGTTCACTAAGCCCACTGTCGTTGCTAACCCAGTAGAAAATCGTACTACCATGGGTAAAAATAAACAATTATTATTATATATAATATTTAAAATAAAATACATATAGCCACAAATAGGTACGTAGGTACGCGTCATCCCGTCTAATCTTTCACCCAAATGCGTCGATCATTGTGAAATCACAGAAAAGTTAATAATTATAATGATTAAAACTCAGTATCTACGTATATACAAGCCATAAAATCGTGTAATGAGCACGATRTTGAACGTTTTTTTGTTCTATTCGAATTCCACGGATCGTTTGGTAATTTAATTACAGGGCCATTGGACCCTGAGTTTGCATTGTGTGTGCAACTACTGTGACTGCGCTGACCGGAAAGACTAATTACTATTGTTGACCAGTAGCTAAAGCCCTCCTCCCCCCGAATCCAGAACGTATATTCCGCAAAATTTTGACGGGTACTTTGGGTGGTGTGCTGAGGTAGAGGGTGAAACCAGACTTGAAAAACTTCCAAGTTAACGATTTTTTGACCGCACTGTAAAACTACCCGAGTTTTATATTATTATGCTGTTAAATTTTGTCCAAAACAATTGATATCAGTCATTTACAAATTTTATTCTGTGACAAAAATGTCTAAATACGTAAATAATTTCACAACTTTAAAAAAAAAATCAATATTAAAGTATCATCAATGGATGGCTTCCTAATTCACTTTTAATTTTTTTTTTTGTGTATACTCGTGTTATCTGTCTCATATCTTATATACTTATCGTGTCATTTAATATAAATAGTATATGATTTCGACTTAAAATAAAAATAAAAAAATTCCGTAATATTTCTAATTTTATAATATCTATTAAAAAATTATACTACTTGGAGTTTATAGGCATACTATAATTATGCAGTTCTTTAATAAATTATATTACTTTATTAAAACGTACTCAATTGCGACGTTATACGACGCGTGTGTACAAAAATAATAATAGTTTTTGTACCTATATATATTATAGTAAATATTAAAAAGTAATACTGACTATCTTTATTTATATAATAAATTAGTATAAAAATATTATTATAACATACCGTTTGTTAACATTTTTAAAACAGTGAGAACCGTGATAGCTTGAACCATGTTTGGTAAACAATTTGTTGATGTCATTTTCGCGAAAATCACAAATTGAAAAGTGCTAGCACATGTTACGAGTGTCCGACACTACGAACAGCAAGTGTTTGACGGTGATCCGTGCTAGTAATGATGAGTATAATGTATTCGTGGATCTGATGTATTATCGAATAAAAAAATATGAAGGGTTGGGAAAAATCTGGGGGAAAAAATCGAAAATTATCGAAATAGTTACAAAAAATGTTCGATGCGCCGTCGATGTCCGCGGTAACCAAACGAAAAATGATTAATTATATTATGCGACTCACATGGAACACGCGGCGTGTACTGCGGATCGGTTGGATGTCGGACGACTGAAATACACAACCGGTCGGATCAACGGCACGGAGCTAAAAGATCGGCGGACGCTGTGAACTGTGCAGGCACTAGGAATCTCCACGGGTGAATATCCACTGTCCTTGGGCCGTCGTCCACGCACGAATCCGGAAGTGTGCACGACTATTGTGTCCGGGAGATCCGACTTCCGGGAAAATAGCGCCACTGGCTCGCGAGGTGTGAACTCATGTGTGTGTGTGTGAACGTACTATGAATACTTCAGAGGGGACTGATATCGTGAGTTCGTCGAACCGATTCACCCAGTCGTCGCACTTATATTCATATTATTTTTATATAGGATGATCCATTTAACGTGAGACAAGCATTAGTTCAAAAACTATTAACGTCACTGAAAATGTTTCTTTGGAATATTATAATTTATAACATAATCTATAGTGAAAAAATAGTTTTTCTAAAAAAATTTTATTTTTACACTATATTTTTTCAAGACTTATATTTATTTAATGTGGAAATATGCAATTTTAATCCTTTAAGAAATTATTTCAAAGCAGAATGTTTTTGGAGTAGTTACTTTTTGATATAAAAAAGTCAAATTTTTTACAAGTGAAGTGGAATGAGCACCCCGTAACATGTATGAGTAAAAGAACTAAAAAATTGTAACGACATAAAATATTTAAAAATAACATAATTTTTCAAAGAATTTTGACTCTCCTAACAATATAAAATTGCATTACATAGGTAAAATATGTGTTCTCAAAAACTTTATTAGTGTTTTCCGATATAATTTATGTCTTATGTTAATTGGATAACCCCGTATATYATGTTATACCTACCTAATATGCACAATATAATATAACTTTGCAGTGTATGCCGTATTCATGAGAGGAAAGCACGGGTTAGGTTATAATTACCAGGGCGTGGTTAATAATTGGTTTAAGAAATGGTTGGTTTAAAGTGAAATACGAAACGTTGTGATGTTATTTACAATATTATATAAGAATAATATTTTATTAATTGCATGATTGGGACAATGTATTACATTAAGTTTGGCGGGTTTGCCATTCCTATTCTAAAAAAAATTTTTTAGAATATTATTAATAAAATATAGATTRGTCTAAATAATTGTTGATACATAAATGGTTATTATTATAACATACGAACTTAGTTTCGGAGCTTAAATGTGCGTGATGATAATCGCGAAGAATTATCGTTTTCTTATCACATATTGATATTTTKGCYGATGCATTAAAATAATACATAATGTGCGACAAGACAGGAGGAACTTAAAATATTATCTATTCAGCATAATACATTACATATTATGTTTATAATGCATATATTATATATGTAATATGCATATAATATGATTATATATACCTATCTTACATATTATGTTTATATGATATAAATACGACAGTCATCTTCGGTGTAAGTAGTGAGTGGTCTATTATATAATATTATTATTATGTAAATCGATATTTTTTTTAAATTTAGGAACACGTCAAAAGTGGAAGACATGCCGGTGCGGCTGCCAATGAGACGGCCATGGTCCGCGGCATACCATGGTCCGTCGAAGAACACTCAGTCAGCCATACTTAATATATGTCTTATCTCTATGTATATTCTCACTGGACCAAGACCACGTGCTAACGGATGTGGGCGGTGCCTAGATCACATGCCGCTCACACCTACATATATCCAAGATTGGGCGTGATACCTACAAAAAAGTATCTTGATACATTTATACTGTATCTAGATAGATTTTGAATGTAGAGAAGATACAATGTACGTCATGATACATTGGTAGGTAACCTACTAATTCTATTTCATATTTTGTACTTCCAATTTAGTAAATTTTATCAACTAAACGGTCTATGCATAAAAATATTTATGAAGTCATAAAATATTAAACAACACAATAAATCGATACTGAAGTTATAAATGTATAATAATTAATACATCAATATTTATAAATCGGCAAATCGCACTATTCAAATCATAAACTCATAATTATTCGTATTAACTCATAACCTAAAAACAATAAAACATATTTAAAAAAGCAATTAACATGAGTATTGAGAATATTGTTACGTAAAAAATTTAAATTAACAAATTGCATTTGGCAACTGTACTACTGTACTATACACTGTATACTACGATAATGACAACATAAGCTAATATGTGTCACTAAATTACATTTCAAACTTGTCAAATTATTTAACACCTGCAGATTACCTGATGTTATATAGTTCAAAATTAAATATCTTATATTTCGATTTATATTATGATTTATACCAGTATTTATCGTATGTATTACCTACTATACTATGTTTATAATTGAGCAAATTAAATTTGTTTAATCATAATACGAGAAATATCTTAAAAATTAAAAAAGTGTTATGATTTTAACGTGGAGTAGATACATGAAACACATTTGTAGCTTGGAATGGATCGTGGAAGACATTCCAAAAAAAAGAAGCAATTTATACATTTAAATCTCAACATTAATTATAACTCTTCATAATATTTATGACTAAYAACTAATAAGTAATGACTCCTTTTGGTTTTATTATCTATTTTATTTGGAAAGATTTATACTCATATCTAGGTAGCAGATTCATATTTTATGAAAAAAAATTACTGTTATAAGTGTAAATAGACTTAGAAGGCCATCATAATATATGGGCACCTTAATTGAATTTTATGTTTTTCAAATTATCATTACAAGTTATAACAGTGCTGTTACATTTATTTTAAATTTTGAGTGTCCTGCCTCCTGCAAATCGAAATAAAATTCCTTGGTACTATCAAGTAAATATGTTTACAATACTTAATAGTAAATTGAATCTCTTAGTGAAATAARATACATGAYATACCTGCTTGATATTTTAAAATCTTATACAACGAAACAAGATACAATAATTGTATCTCTGATACTGACCAACTCTGCGTATATCCGCTGTTAATAAAAAATACATTCCAGCAATTAATGTGCGTTAAAAAAACTTAATAGCTTATGCRAAATAATAATTATTATACAATGTAATTTTATAAATGTTATAATGTTATGATAGGGGGCAATGTACAATGTTTCAAATCCACTGCAGTAAACGAACTGCGTTGGATGATATTTAACGACTACCTACACTAATAATTGCATCCGATTCAAATACATTATTTTCCTTCTTATTTAGTACAGACTTATTAAGACTGAATAGCAACGTTAAATATTCTATTGCTAAAGCCTAATGGTAAATAAAATATATTGTTTTTYATAATTTCGTGATTATGTAGGTACACCATAAATATTATTTTTGTCGTTGATTAATATTATTATTTTAAATATTTTTATTATTTGTWATTTCATTCCATTCGTATTTCAGTATTTGAACATTTGTTTTCTTAAAAAGTCTTGTATTTTGCATATTATACAATTTATTAGTATTTTTGTAACAACTCCAACGCCGTATTTATTTATAATTGTTGAAAACAAAATGTATAAACGTTTATACARATTAATGTTTCTTTTTTCACTACTCATAACGTCACATACAATTAAATATTTTAGAATTATAAACAGAAAAATGCAATCGAAATAAATAAACTAAACTCTATAGGTACGTTTATTTCATAAGTACTCATATTAATTATTGGTTWAGATAATCGCGAAGCAATTAGTATAGTCGTATATTGTAAAAGTGGGACGGAATTCGTAAGCCACTAATCTCAATTTTTATATAGGAGATAATATTATATTATAATTCATATTCAGCCCTTAAATTGTATGTTTTTAGTATTTTAACATTATARGTATCTACAGAAGTATAGAAATAAAGGTCAATTATTCTGATGTAGTTCACTGAACTGCAATGATTAAGTACATTAAATTGAATGACATTGGATAGCCTGCAAGTTCACCTAGAGGTATATATAGGTATTAAGTTTGTTTTGTCAAAACGAGTTGTATCAAAATTGAACTTTCAAAAAATTATAAAAAATAATCAAACCTATGTTTTTAAAAATTTAAAAATTTCTAAAAACAACTTCTTTGACATTGTATGATCATACGTTCATTAGGTATGTAAGTAACTACATAATTATTAATCTGTTTACTGCATAAAAAAAAGCAGTAGGTAGTACCTACTAATGTACTAGGTATACCTACAAAAATTTCAATGCTATACAATTACACAATTTTTTGAGACATTTGAATTATTTACTTAACTAATTATTTCTATAAATAATGTTTTCAAAAATTAAATATAAATAGACATGATTATTGATTGATGAATTAAGTCAATACTATTACAAAATATTTTTTTTTTCATATGTATTTCACGTTTGCCTATTTGAGCAACTACTCCTGCCCCTCCCTCTCGATGTGCTCAATCAAGTCATCTCAGACATCTGTGTGGACTGTGGAGTAAGAACTAATCAGTATTCAAAAACAGACGCTCAACAGGTGCTAACTATATTATAAAAAGTTATAATTGATGACTTGATGTGTATTTGTTTAATTCATTGATGTAGATTTGTAAATAAAACAAAGTACTATATTATTATTATTATATGAAATGTGAATACACTAGGRCAAGGGTGCGAACCTTTTTTAGGTCTAGTGCCAAATTTCTGCAATCAAAAGTTTAACAATTTTTCACGTGCCCGAAGATTGTTAACACTAAATAGAACATAATAAATATAGTAACATAATCAATTTTACATAGAAATATTATGATTTTGTGTGTATTTTGATAAATGTTTATAGTTTGTTTCTTTGAAATTTTTAGAAGCGAAATTTWACGAATATCATAATTGTACACATTTTAATTTTTTGCGTGTCATTGAAATTTTATAAACGTGCCACTTTTGGCACGCGTGTCGTGGGTTCACCACCCCCACACGGCCCACACTAGGATATAGACTCTATATGTCCTTTACCTGTTTGTATAGTTTGTGGTAAAAAGTTAAGCAATGAAGCAATGGTATCCAGTAAATTGAAAAGGCATTTAACAACAAAACATCCGGGTGAGTCATTAAAAACACGACTATATTTTGAACGCCTCCTAAATTCAAATAAAAAAGCTGTATCTAATATGATAAAAAGAGTGACTATATCTGATAAAGCTCTTGAAGCATCATTTAAAGTCGCAGAACTGATTGCTAAAAATATGAACTCTCATGTTATTGGCGAAAAATTAATACGACCTGCCTGTTTAGTTATGGTTGAAACAATGTAAGGTAAAGAATCTAAAGATGTTATATCCAAAGTGACACTTTCCAACAATACTATTAGCCGCCGAATAAATGAAATGGCAGATGATATTAATGACATTGTTTTAGAAAAAATTAAAAATCAAAAATTATTTTCATTACAAATAGACGAGAGTACTGACAGAACTTCTAAAGCTCAATTACTAGATTTTGGCAGATTTGTTGATAATTCTAATATTGTTGAGCAGTTTTTATTTTGTAAAGAATTAAAGTCAACAACAACAGGGAAAGACATATTTGACGTAGTAAATAATTTTTTTGAAAAATCTGGATTATCATTGAATTATTGTTGTGGTGTGTGTACTGATGGAGCTCCGTCTATAACCGGAAAGTATAAAGGTTTTGTTACTCTCGCTAAAATTAAAAATCCAGCTATGATTATAACACACTGTTTTATTCATCGAGAAGCTCTGGTTGCAAAAACATTAGGAGAAAAAATGTTAAAAGTCTTAAATGATGCTATTAAAATTGTGAATTACATTAAAAACATTGAAAACAAGGATTCTTGAAATTATTTGTAAGGAAATGGGTTCGGATCATATACATTTATTGCTACACACAGAAGTAAGGTGGGTATCACGAGGTCAAGTGTTTAATCGAGTTATTGAATTGAAAGAAGAATTAGAATTATTTTTTGAAAAAGAAAATCTCCCAGTATACAAAATAAAACTGGTGTTATATTTTGGCATACTTGGCTGATATATTTAAAAAACTAAATTATCTTAATGCGTCAATGCAAGGACGTCAGGAAACAATACTTTCTTCGACGAACAAAATCAGAAGGTTCAAAAACAAAATTGTATTTTGGAAATCTTCAATAATTAAAGGGGATTTTTCAAATTTTCCAACATTTTCAAAATTAACGATAAGGAAATCCAATATTAAAGAATTACAAYAACTTATAATAAATTGAACATCTTATATTACTCGAAGAAAAAATTGAACATTATTTTTCATCGTTGACAACATCTGCAGATTGGGTCGTGTTGCCATTTGATTTTACAGACAATATGAATGAACTTGATCTTACTAATGACGAAAAGAATGAATTCATTGATATGTGTTCTAGTTCTACTATCCGAATATTATTTAATAGTCAGAAAGTAACATAGATTCCTTCTGGTTAAATTTAGCTTCAGAATATCCATCTATTTCTCAGAAAGCGATACTATTGTTATTACCATTTTCTACATCATATCTTTGTGAACAGGCATTTTCTGCACTGAATAATATAAAAATAAGCAGTAGAAATCGTTTGAAAAATGTTGAACCTTAATTGTGTCTTGCTGTTTCAACTGTTTCACCCCGAATAGAGGAATTATGTAAAAAATACCAGCCTCAAGTATCACATTAAATTTGTATTATTAAAATATTAAACAAAAACAATTTATTATTTATAATTTATTAAGTTTCAAATTATAACTTTTTTTTTTTAATTTACATTATATTTAAGTTTCACATAAGTTTTTCACATTATTTTTTTTATCAAAATTAATGAATAAATATTGGAGTTTCAAAATATTACTGTAGTTTGTATTTCTACAACTCYTATTTAATATAAGTGTCTTGTGAATATTATAATTAGATAATGTCAAAAATACAAAAAAAAAAGCATTTTTTAGAAGAACAATGACACAATTGCGATTTTTTTTATTAATTATTTATTTGTGTGCCGTGAAATTTTTTAAAATGATCAAGTGCGCCGTTAGGTAAAAAAAGGTTGGGAATYCCTGATATAGAGAGTAGTGGCTAGGTATTCGCTGCAGTCTAGAAAATAAAATACGTTCCAGTATGTTAATATATACCAAGGTACATTTAAAACTATGAACTAATAATATTGTATTATATTATGGGCGGTACTCCTTTCGCCCAAAAATGACCTTCCTCTTTTTGCCCAGTCCTCTTTTCGACCAAAGATGAAAAAATAGTTTCCTCTTTTCGCCTACAAATAATTGTATTCTTTTCRCCCACGGTTTCACGTTTTACATTTTGGAAACCACTGTCTCAACATTTCTCGACTGACTATATTAATAACTATCAAAAACCCTTCGGTGCGCTAGACCGGCCAGGCCGATAACAATATCTAGATTGCAAATATAATTGATATAACATAATATATATATATATATATATATATAATATAATTTAACAAATTTGATATCGATACGTAACACTCGTAACAGCTTCAATTTTAGTATTTCGTTCACTTTGACTACATTTTATAAAAATGGAATTTTTAGAAAGTAGAAGAGGTGGTCATATGGTTCTTTACAATAATGAAGTACAATTTTGGATCGACTAATAAAAAAGACAACTCCACCATTGGAGATGTGTAACAAGAACGTGTGATGCAAAATTATATACAGATAAAAATGACCCTTTTACTTCAGCAGTCGGAGAACACAATCATAATGAATAATATGATAAATCGAATATTAATTGCCAAATAATAAACACAGCATGTAAACGAAAATCTTTAGAAGATCTCCATATAAGACCGAAAAAAATAATATTAAAAGAAATTGCTCAAAACGACGCATCATCATATTTAAACGTARTTGACATAAAAAGGTTAAGGAACAAAATATATAAATCTCGTGCAAAAGTCCTCCCCCCTAACCATCTAAGCTAAATCATCAGAGTTAAACAGGACAACAAATGCATGCGAGTCCTTTCACTCATTTTTTAACAAAAGTTTTAGTAATTCTCCACCAATTCATATGTGGTTGGCTGTGGTACAAGAAATCTAAACCGACGTTTATATTAAATTAAATAGTATCCACCTACAACACTTTCCCAAAGACAGACAAGTAAGAGAACGCTAATTAAAAAAGGAAAAAACAATTGAAAAGTACAATAGAGGWGAGTTAAGCCGGTATGAGTTCATTAAATCAATGRCATTCAATTATACAAAAAATGTAAATCTAAATTAAATCCATGAATAACTTTTTTTTAACGAAGTCATAAAAATAAATGACAAACACCTAAAATATTATTTTATATTAACGAACTTATTATATCATTAATTTTATTATTGTGTAAAAAAAGATGTAAGTATCTAAGTATAATATATATCAATTATAAATCTGTACATAAATTATGTAGATATGT